AGATATACATCTTAACTATTTAGGGGCTGGTCATCAAAGCAGAGAATGCTTCCTGTTTTTCTTCATCCTGAATTCCCCTCGGGGATCACAACGCAGTGGCTAATGACTTGAACCTTGTAGAACTAGAACGGTGGGCAACATTCTTCTCTTTCTGTGTGTAACCTTTCGAAACTGCCATTTTACCCATCAGGAAAACAAGAATAATGGACATAGCCACCTCGTGGGGAGCTGTGAGGATTTCAGAGCTTTCTGAGTGAGAAAGGGCCCCTCACAGCACCCGGCTCGGCTGTGTGAATGATGAGTCGGTCTGTCTCTGTCTCCCCCTCCCCACCCCCAGAGGACAGCTTCATTCTAGCGAGAAAAATGCTGAGCTGAGATCAATGTCCAGACTTCCCTTCTCCTCAAACTTCTGGGATTAGAGCCACAACTCCCCCCTTCCCATTTAAAAAAAAAAACTTTTTGAAACAATTAAAACCTGATATATCTAGAGAGCAATAATTCTGTGACCAAAGAAAGTGATGTTTTTAAAAGCTCACCACTAATGGACGTCTCGGGCAAGTCACTAACAATGAACTCGTCAGTTAACAGACAACACTCGTTGGCACTCCTGCCCCTTGGGCCTCTCAGCCCAGGCTTGGTTAGAAAGCTGTCGAGATGGACTCACCCTTCACTTAAGAAAACTGGGCGGAATCTTTCATCTTTCAGGTTCACCTTGCTCCTCCTTATGTCGTCTCTTTCTCTTATTCCCCCGCTTGGTCACACCGGATTCCTAATCCTCCATCTCATCTTGAAGCGTTTCATCTTTTCACTTCTCTAATGATAATAACATACATTTAGTGAGCCATTCCTACATGCCAGGTCTGGCTGCCTCGCAGCTCACGTTGTGCCGGATTCAATGTGTTGTATGTTATTACGTAAATGGTTGGAGTGATGGGGGCGTGGGCTTCAGTAGTTGGTCCCAGAACATACGACCCATCTGCGGGGAGCAAGCATGAGCCCAGGTCATCTGAACTCCAGAGCCTGAGCTCTGGCTCTCCTGTGAGGCTCCACCTTTTGAAACCAGCCTCCTTGAGCCCTTCTCTTCTTAAACACAGGCCAGAAATCCCTGTGGTCTCCAAGCTCAGAGATTCAGCGCACGGAGAAAACCCACAGAGCAGAAAAGCAGTAAAGGCAAGAAAACTGCCAACACAAATGGCGCAAAATCCACACACTTTAGCCATGGGAGGAGCACTCATTTTAGAATCTAATTTCTCTTTGCAAAGAATTCTAACCATTTTCATTATCTCGCTTCCCAACTCATAGGATATTAGTCTTGGAAATTAGATAGGGGGGAAAGGAATGCTCATGGCAAGGCTGAGTATGCAACACATTTTGGAAAACGATTAAAATAATCCTCAAGAATCCTGGAACTCCCAGAGGGGTTCTGAATAACCAAGGTTTCATTGTAAAAGAGAAATCAGTGGGCTGGAAAACCAACCAACACCACCACAGGACAGGATTTATGTATCAAAGTGAAAATGCAGCCTTGTGCCTGGGCCCTCTCTGTGTGCTAGTGGCCTCAAACCAGGTTAGCCTCTGTGTGGACCCCTTAGTCACAAAGAGCCACCAGGGACCCTGGCTGTCAATGTGGCGGCCATGCTTGCTGGCTTGCGTGTGTCATTCAATCTTCACAATAACTTTACAATAGTAGGTAGGGACTCATATAATTCCTTTTTTTTAGTTGAGAGAAGTGAAACCCAAAGAGGTTGAATAACTTGCCCAGGGTCACACAGCCGAGTCCTGGCTGACTCCATAGCCCTCACGCTTCCCCATTTGACTATGTAACGTCATGATCACAGACTACCCCCAGGCTATATCACCCAAGCACGTGGCATTGCTTACAAGGGGGCAGGGAGAGCGCAGGAACAGACCTGAGCCCACAAAACAACAAATAAGAAGACAGCACAGGGCCGGTACCCCGCTAATGCTGGGCCTGGGGCTTACACTGGACCAGGCCTAGGTATTTGGAGCCAGTGGCTGTGATTACGAATAAAGATGAGGGATGTGGGCTGCCCCGTGCTGTCTGGGAGACCAAGAATTTCCCCTAGAGTGAATGAGATGGGTGGTATCCAGTTGGCCACCATGTGGTGTACTAGCTTTGGATTCAGATGGACCTGGACTGATATCCCAACTCCACCCCTCACACTGCGATCTTGGAAACCTTCCTTAACCTCTCTGAGTCTGTTTCGTCACCTGAAGTGAGAAACTGAATGCAAAATGCAAAATTCCTGGTATGTAGGTGCTATGCACGTGTTAGTTCTTTTCTCCTTCCCTTTGAAAGGAGCCCAGAGAAGGTTCCCCCACCTGTTGTACAGGCTCTGAGCCTCCCAAAAGGGAGTTCTATTATGACACATGCCAAAGAGGCAAAAACTTAAATGTCAGTCAGTCCCCTGGGGAAGTAACCCTGGTAGCACTGACTCTTTAAAAGCTTCACAGAGGGTCATAGGCCAGGGAGCCAGTGATGTCTCAGGTCTTTTGTGGGTTTCCCTCCTTGGTAGACAGAATTAAAACACTGATTCCACCACAAAGCTGCCTCTTAGCTGCCTGGGAAGGTAAGGGGGCAGTGTGAAAAGTCCCAGGCCCCCAGTTCAGCCAGCCCTCAGGCGTCCCAGCAGTGTGTACACCTCCCGCTAGAGGGCAGCACCTCCACCCACGGACACGGCCCAGAGGGGACTCTGCCCGAGAGTCACAGCCCAGCAGGGCAGGGGGCCTTCTCTGTTCTCCGGGAGCATTAGTGACAGTGACATTGAGGACTGGGGTTGAGGACAGGTTAATCAGAAGCAGAGGGCGCTTCCTGCAGGAAGTGGTCACAGAGAGAAGAGCTGATCCTTCTGCCACACAAAACTCACCAGCCTGACACAAGGAAACCTCCATGGGGCAAGAGAGAGAAGAAATGGGGCAGGTTGCCTTTATTTGGGCTTTTACCTTCTAGAAGTGTTTTGTGCAGAGTTTAAAAATCAAATAATGCTGAAAAGATCATAATAAAAAACATCAGTCTCCTTCCCCCGCCCCTCCCCCACTGCACCCGCCGCCGAATCCCCCCTTCCCCAACCCAGAGTCAATAACTTAACTTTGCTCATTGCTTCTTCTGGTAGTAAGCTCTGCATTCCCATGTGATACTCTTGCATTAATTTTTGAGTTAGCACTTCTAGGCATTATCTGTTGACTTCGGATTACAGCAGATAAGGATTTTGTCCCCTTACACCCCCAGTTCTCTTCCCTCTATCCTCCCAGTACAGGAATATAACCCAATAATCAAAGTGTAACAGTGTGATTATGACAATTCTGTCTACTTTAGACACCACAGATCTTACTATATTTGCATTCCCTTTCCTGTCCAATGTTTACTTTTCTTGCAGTTAAAAATGTTCTTTTCTCACTCTAAGAGCGTTCCTAAGTTAGGAGTTAAACTCTTCTCTGTCATTTCCCCTCAGTTTCTGTCATGGCTCCACTGTTGGGAACACCTCTCACACATGTGACAAGGATTTACTGAGCATCTACTTTTGCATAGTATCCTATTAGAATGTTAAGGGATTTAGCACAAAACATGGTCCTTGGCCTTTTGCAGCCTAAAATTCAGTTGGGAGACCAGAGAGGGACACACACAAAATAAACAGTACAAGGATGAAGCAGCCATTCAAGCATTGCCCTATGTGCTCTGTGACTCTGGGACAAATGATGCCCACGGGGAATGTTCTGGAATCAGAGGCTAGAGTCACAAGGAAGGTTTTCTGCTGGGCACCAGGTCTGAACTGGGCTTTGAAGTCTGGTTGTTCAGGGCAGAGATAAGAAGAGAATCTTCCAAGGGAGGGAATCAACGAAGAGCTGGGCCTGGAGCCCAAACACAGGAAACACGTTTGAACAGAGCTAGGTCTCAATTTCTTCATCGTTAAAAAGGGGGAAGAAGCTGTGGTTGTGTGAGAGAAAAATCCCTATTCTTAGGAAATATTCACTGAAGAACTTAGGGATAAAGGGCTAAGTGTATATAACTTACCCTCAAATGGTTCAGAGGGAAAAAAAAATGTAGAAGGACAGATAGGAATATTCTTTGCACTGTTACCATTTTGGATCCTTTTGGGACTTTAGAATTATTTGGAATTATTCAAATGTTAAGTCTTTTTAAAGATTTAAGGCAAGTTATGAAGACATCTTCAAGAACTCTATCCTAAGGAAATCATTACACTTACATAAGGTTAATCACTTGTAGCAAAAAAAAGGGGGGGGGAATCAACCTAAATATTCAACAAAAACAAAATGGCCAAGTAAAGTCTATGGTACTTTGTGCTGCCATTAGCATGAATTTCCCCAATAAATCTAAGTCTCCTAAGAAAATGATCAGGGTACAATGTCAAATGAAGAAGAGGAGCAGGATATAAACCAGGACACACCTCATCAGTCCAATTATGTGTCTGTAGCGACATTTAAAAATTGGAGAAAATATATACCAAGGTATTAACAGTAGTACGATTAAGGATAATTTTATCTTAATTTTTATATATCTCAAAGTTTTTAAACATGTATTGATTTCCTAATTTAAAAAATGAATGTAATTTTCTAAAAAGCTAAAGAAAATGAGATTTGTGGACAAACCTGGGGTTATTTTAATAATTTTTAAGGATTAGGATAAAATTATAAATATGTTTATTCTTTGAAATCATATTCATATAATTAAACAGAATGTTTTTGTATTTTTTAGAAAGTGGAGAATATCTGCTCTAGGGGGTTATTGTCAGGATTAAGTGAAATTATCTCTGTAAAGGACTTAGCAAAGTGCCTGCACAAGGTAGTATGTGTATATGTATAAATTTTTAAAATAATAGATATTATATGTATGCAATATGTATACAACAGTGGGCTGTTTTAATAACCCTCATCTCCCTGCCTCTTGCTTGCCAGCCTCTGGTTGACAGCGAGCTTTGTCGGGCGGGGGCCGGGTGGGGTGACCGCGCTGGCCTCCGCAGGTGGCGGCCGAGTACTTCAAGAACACCACGCTGCTGCTGGTGGGTGTCATCTGCGTGGCGGCCGCCGTGGAGAAGTGGAACCTGCACAAGCGCATTGCTCTGCGCATGGTCCTGATGGCCGGAGCCAAGCCGGGCATGTAAGTCACACTTAGTGCCCACCCCCCAGCTCCCAGTGGGCCACCCGAACCAGTCAGTCAGGCTTCTACCAATGGGGGTGGAGGACACCAAGGCCACAAGGCTCTGACCTCCCCCTCCAGGGACAGGGCCTGTGACCGTGGAATGGAGATTTGAGTGTGTGACTTTGGCATCATCTGTTGTCACAGTCTAAATCAGGTACCTGAGTAACCCAGACCCCAAGGGCAGCAGGTTCCAAAATATAAGGGGCTTATTCAGTAACACAAGGTGAACGGACGTAAACTATTTCCCCACTTTTGCCGGGGTGTCAGGGAGCAGGCTGGACACGAAGGGGTGTCTCCTCCCCTGTCATCTAAGTTGGTATGGCAGTTTCCTCCTGTCCACTCTGGATTTTTGTTGTCCCTGGTTCAGACCCAGGCCTGTCAAAGACGTGGCATGTAGCCCGACACCTGCAGTGCGTGCAGGCCCTCAGCTTCTTCCTCTCTTCTCTTTGCTGTTGAGAAGGCTGCTCAGGGTGTGTAGCAAGGTCAGGATAGATGGTTTTTTTGTGAACTCACTCCTGCTCTGTCGGAAACCCCGCCATTACCTTCCCTTTGGAATAGCGTCCTCACCTCCTTCTCATTGACAACTTTCTTGCAACACTTCATGTAAGCTGCCCTGACTCCTTTGGGAGTCCAAGAGAGCATAAATAAGTAACGTGGCATCCGTTTTCAGTGTTATTTGTTAAATGAATACAGGTTATACCTAAAATGATGCTCCTGTCTCCCACTTAACTACAGCTTAACTCAGCAGGATTCGCCCCCTCACTCACTAATCACCCCACACTCTGCCACCCGCACACACAGCGGCATTTCCTCACATCATGTTGGGACTCTGCAGCTCTTTAAAACCGCTGGGTACCGTCTTCAAGAATTTTTATCCCCTTTGCATTTCCACTCTGTTTACCACATCCCCCAGCAAGTTCCCACCCTCGTGGGGCTCTCCGCTTGCCAGTGCACGTCCAGGGCAGGCAAACTCATGCCTCCGTCAGCCTCAACAAAACACCCTCAGGACTCTGGCATCCGGTCATAATCCACATGATACACGTGCCAGCCCCAAACTGCACGAAGTCAGTGATTCCACCTAAAGTGACCCACACAGGCAGTCTTTATGTTGGCTTCTCTTAAGGAAACAAGAACTGTATCTGTACAAACACACATCGCATGTTTTCAAAGTCAAAGAGAAATGAGTTATCTTTGTTAGTGTTTTCCTCCGAGCATCAACTAAGTACCAGCTGGAAAAGTGCACACGGTGAAATGGGACCCCGCTGTGCCTTTGGGCGTGTGCTCTCCACATGTTCGTAGTGGGACAAGTAGTGGGCGGAGCCACGAGCCCTACCCATTAATCCCTGTTTGGTCACTAATAACTGCGGTGACTTGGCTTCAAAGCCAGGGATGTAATGGCACTCACAGAACTGCTAGCTGCAAGGGCCAAAAAATAATTCCTTTATATATAAAAAACACATACCATCACCGAGCTAATGTCCGCAGAGAGAGGAGCCATCAGTAGTCCGTGCCCTGGGACCCTACTACCAAAGCTCTTCTTCACGTAAGTAGGGGCTTTGCTGTTTTTGTTTGTTTTTGTTGTTTCGGCTATGGCTGCTAGCCCATGGGGTGTGATTCATTCATTCAACACATCTTTATTTAATGTTTATTCTGTGCCACGCCCAGGCATACAAAGCTGAATGCAGGGCACAAACCTGATTTTCTGGACCAAGCCGGCCCCAGCGGGCTGCCCTGCGAGGTGGGCCGTTGGGCCGGGAGGGAGGCTGGCGTGCTGCGACTTGTCCCGCTCCCCCCGCCCCGCCCTCCAGGCTGCTGCTCTGCTTCATGTGCTGCACCACGCTGCTCTCCATGTGGCTGTCCAACACGTCCACCACCGCCATGGTGATGCCCATCGTGGAGGCTGTGCTGCAGGAGCTGGTCAGTGCCGACGAGGAGCAGCTCATGGCCGGCAACTCCAGCACCGAAGAGGCCGAGCCCATCAGTACAGTTTGCCGGAGTCCATCTCCCCTTTCCTCCTCCACCTTCCTCCTGCAATGCTGCCCAGCTCGGCGCCTGCCCCCAGCACCCCCACCCCCGTCCACACCACCACCACCCCCAGCTTCTGCTGCTTCCTCTCCTCTTCCCTTTATCCTGCACCAGCCCTGGCAACCTGCAGCTTCTCCGCGACCCCCACTCCCAGCGCTCCCTCCCTGCCCTGCTTACAGCAGCCACCACTGCGCCATTCCCCCAAAATGCTCCAGGATTACAAGACCCTGGGCCCATCCGTGTCCGTGACCCCGCCATGCCTTCGGAGCCGAGGGAAGGGGGAGGGTCACCACACACGCAGAGCAGGAGCCTTTATGCCCTCGTTTCCCCATTCAGCCCCAGCCCTTCAGGGTCGGGGCCGGTCTCCACATCTCACTTTCTGCTTTCCTTTGCTACCGTAGGTCTTGATGTAAATACCCAACCTTCTCTGGAACTCATCTTTGTCAATGAAGAGTGAGTATGACTGCCCTCCTCCCAGACAGAGCCCCTCCAGGTCCATTCCAGAGGTCAGGAAAGAGCCCGTAGAAGTTCTTTTAGATGTACGGGCAATCTCACATCTTGCCACCCCATCACCTCCCCTGCCCCCACCCCGATGTCCCCTCCAGACCCAGAAGCCACCTGCCAAGATCTCGAGGGCAACTCCCTTAACCACAAGGTACTGCAGTGCTGAGGGAAGAGATCGAAAAGACCACCCTGACTCTGAGGGGTCTATGGACGGTCCATGCATCTACCAAGTGGAATTTCATTTAAACTGATGTCCCTCTTGGGAGAACAATATTTAATCTATTAATGAAAAAATGCTCTCATATGAGATGTCATTGGAGATTCTTCGAGAATCACATTGTACAGCTATAAGACATGATCTGACTAGACTGGGTGGCAGGTAGGGATCAGAGGGCAGTTGGTGTGGGAGCTATGGGTTGACACAAAGCATCAGCTTTTAGAAAAGGAGAAATATCGTCTCAAACACTCATGTGCGATAGATCCATTAACAGCTGATTTCTTTTATTCAATATCAAAATGTGGCCTTCAAGGAATACCGTGATGAACAGCACATTTGGAAAGATTTGTATGAGAGCTCAGTTACGCAGTTTGCTCTTTTCATTAAACAGTGGAGAACTCACACTGAGTGGAACCAGCACTCAGGGACAGACGCAGACGGGTGCCATCAGGAAGCAGCCTGATCTCGCCCCCTCCCCAAATGTCCCCAACCATGATACACTGCATTTCCCTCCGGATCCTTGACGACACCTCAGGCAAATCCCACAGCTCTTCCAGTTCCTCTCAGATATCAGGATGATCTCACTTTCAGATATTCAGCAATCTAGTCCAGACTCAAATCAAAACTGCAATCTCTCATCCAAAGCTTCTCCCCACCCACTTCACGCTCACACCCGCCTCATCAGCCCAGGTCTGCAGAATCAGAGGAGGAGACAGCTGACTTGTCTCTCGCTCTTCCTCCCCCTCCCTCCCCTCACCAGCTCTCTGCTACTCCCGACCTCTCCAGGGTTAGGGCAGAGGCTGTAGGGGCGGGAAAGATAAAGGGGCAGAAAGGTTCTTGGCCGGAGCTACTGTAGAGTGGGGTCAGTGTCCTCTCTGGGACCCAGATCCCCACGCTGTCACGTGTCAGGCTCTCACCTTCAGGGTCCTCGGCGTGTTCCTTGCGGCCACCTCCACGTAGCCTGGGCCTGCTGGCGGTGATGACTACTCATGCCCCCTTGGTTCTGTGTGCTGGGGGCACTCCCCACAGCCTCTTTCTTCTGGGGTTGCCTCCGCCCAGTTGGGCAGGGCCTTTTCAAGGTGGCTGCAGCCCAGCTACCTTCCTTGTGGGCCCCCCACTCCGACAAGACCCTGGACATCGAGAGCACGGCTGCTCCCAGTGCAGCGGGTCTCCTCTCCTCACTCTGGCCTCTCAGGCAGTGTGGCCTCTTGCCTTTGTTCTTTTCTGGATCAAAAAATGTGTCCCCAGACTCCAAAGCCAAAGCTCAGGTTGCCTCTGAACTCTCTCAGCAGAGTGCTGGTGGGAGCCAGGGCTGTGAGGAGGGCCAGCAGCTCCCACGCTATCTTGGGGTTCCTTGCCGACCTCCTCGCCTGATGTGGGAAGGAGAGGGGAACACACAGCTCTATCCTCCTCCCAGGCTAACAGCTCTCTCTCCAAAGATTGCTTCCCTCTGAGCCTCCATCAACTCCCATCCTTCTCTGACAGAGCCCTGAGGTGGCTGATGACCACAGGACCCCACGTCCCGCACGGGTGTCCAGCACCTCTCACTGGTCTTCCCAGTATTTGAGTTCTTGCCCCCACTGTCCTCAGAACTAAGACAAACCAGAACCCTGTATTCAGTGCCCGGTGTAAGTCTCTGATGCTGCTAGTTAAACTTCCCCTTCCTCTCTCTCTACTCAGGGCAAAGGCTGGGGACCAGGACGGGCAGGAGGGACTGGGCACCCACGATGGCTGCCGCCGTCGGAGGTGCCGCTGCTGATCAGAAAGTACCCCCATCTTCTTGCTCTCACTTGCCTTTCACCACGTGTGGTCCTGGCCCTACTGCTCCTGTGCCCTCAGACAAGCATCTCACATTTCTCCTTCTAAACAGTGACTGAGTCAGCCAGTGAGAACGCGGTTGGGGCCCAGCTTTCCCGGCAGAGACAGGAAACTGTCTGCTCCTCCTTTTAGCACCGGTGCCCTCGGGAAGCCAGTACCCTTTCTGCCTGGTTCCCTGCTCTGTAAATGCAGGCAGTGATCCCTGCCGCACAGATCTCTGTGACGCTCAAGTCCATATCTGAGTGCTCAGTACCGGATAAGCACTCCACGTTCACTGTTACTAAGAGTCTCGGCTTCCCTTCAAAGGAAACTCCCTTCTCCTGTCCCCACGAAACCTTACTGCATCTCTTAGGGTGAGGCTGGTCTTCCTTGTAAGCCCAGAACAGCAGAGTCTAGAAGGGTCACTGCTACCAAACACTGGTATGGGGAGAATTCCCATCTCATCAAGCCTGGGCCACTGCTGTTTTCCCCACTTCCTTTGCTTTCTTTCAGCACGTCGAATGCAGACCTCAGTTCTCTGATGCAAAACAAGGTACGGCTTTGGTTTTTTTCTGTGCTTTGAGATACTAGAAAGACCCTCAAGATGACTCAGGGACGGAGATGCCTGGCAGTCCCTCCTAGAGCCCAGTGGCCTCCACTGATCTGAGAGCAGAGCCTGAGCCTGGACCCTGAGGCTCCGTGCGGTTCTGGGCCCCAGCCCTGAGCCCTGGCTTAGCCTCACAAAGTACGGATTAACCATTCTTCACGGAAAACCAATGTTCAGCCATCCAGATTTTCAAGAGCCACAGATTCATCCTTAGGTTTCCTGTCAGGAGGGATTCATTACAGAAGTATTATTAGGAAAAGGGATGCATTTATAGGGGAAAGCCAAGTTTCCCTGCACATTGCTACTCGGCCTCATCCCGCAACGCCCCCGCCCCCCTCTGCCAAAGAGCTGGTTTTACATCCCTTCTCACCGCAGTCCCAAAGGATGGGTTGTGATCAGTTCAAACCGTGGACCTTGTTGTGGGGAGATCTTTTTTCATTTTCTTTGTGTTACAGAAAAATGAAGGGTTAGCTAATGATGTTCTAGAAAGCCAAGCTCTCCTGTAAGGACAGAGCCACGTTCTGCCAAGTTTCAAAAGCCTCCCTAAATGGGATGCTTGGCCCCAGCCAGATGGGAACCTACGAAAAGGAGGCAGGCACAGCTGGGGCTGCTCTTCACCTCAGGCTCCCCCTGGCTCTGGTCTCTGAGTCCCACTGGGCCGAGGCATGGGTGCCCCCAGGATGATCAGGTGGCTTCTCCAGGCCCCCACACCCTCTTCCTGATAGTGTGGTCTTTGTCCCAACAGAACCTGAATGGTGTGCCCACAACCACCAACCCCCTCAAAACAGCAAACCACCAGGGCAAGAAGCAGCACCCATCCCAGGTAATGGAACTGTACCTCCTGATCCTGTTTCCTACATGAAGTGCCTTACGCTTCCCGGGGGCACGGCTCTTGGAGCTGTGAGAGCATCAGGTTAGTGAGCTGTCGTCCCCAGGCACTCTATCCACGCACGTGTCTGGCCCGCAGGTGTCACAGAGATAAGACATGTAACTCACTGTTGACTTCGTCAAGTCATCCCACTGCCCGGAGCCCCAGTTTCTTCAACTAAGAAAGCTGAGGGTTGGTCTAGATCAGACGTGTTCAAACGATTCCTCAAAGGTGCTTCAGGAGCACGGCAAACATTTGAGTATCCTGAGATTGTAAGGCAATTGCTTTTCGCCCCCTGATTTTCCTGGCACTATGTCATGGGAACGAAATGCAGAAGGAAAACAGATGTTGAAGCTGGTGTAAAACTGCAACTGTCACTTACAGCCCTTGATTTCAAATTTTTGTGTTCATCAAAATCATCTTGGTTATGTCACACCCATATCAAACAAATCAATGCCATCATTTATTAAACACTTATTAAATACCAAGCCCTACACTGAGCGTTTGCTCGATGAGGTAGCAATTTTGAACTCCACTTTTACAGAGATGCAGAGAGATGAAATCATGTACCAAGGCCTCAGAGTTCGTGAGGAGCACCTCTATTCAGATCCCAGTCTCCCTGTCCACATGTGCACACTTCCAGTTAAAAGATAGTTGTATAACCACTAAATGCTACATTTACGTTTTCTGTATTGGAGGTCCACGTAAATGTTCATTAGAAGAAAGGATCATGGAAAACCACTAGACCAGAGAATCTATGAGGTTTCCTCCAGCTCTGATAATCAGCGAGCCTTTCAGGAAAATTTGGAGGGGTCCAGCCTTTCCTGGGCCCTCCCAGGAAACAGTGGTTAAGGGCTTTGAGAAATGTGGTGACGTGGCCTCTCCCCCATGGCTTTCCTATGACCTATCTGGTTGACATATGTGCCAGGCCACTCTTAGACTCATGATTTGAGGCCAGGCCTGGTGGGTCGGGGCGGGTGCTTGCTGCTTTAAGTCCACACTTGAGACCAGAGGTCAGTAACCTCTGACCCTCAAAGGCCATCATGTGGACCATGCAGGGCCTGAGAGGACCACGGCAAGGCCTCATACACAAAGCCTGTATGCAGGGGGGAGGGGAAGGTGGGAAGAAAAGCCAGTAGGCAAGAAGGAAAAAGAGTGAGGAATGAACTACACACTTTGACTCCCAGCCCAATGAAAGCTAGACTCTTTCTATAATGCAAGGCTGATTTTTCAGTCGTCTCCCAACCAGGACTGTATCCTAACTCCAGAAGATGGAACAACCATCTTCTATTTGGTATTTAAACACAAAGTCGAAAGCAACTGGTTCGATTGGAATTCAAGTGAAAAAACCAGAACATTCTGTTAATATTCATAACAACAAAAATAATAACAGCTTACCATTTGTTAAATGCCAGCAAGGCTTCCAAGTGCTTTCCATTTATTCTCCGCAACAGTCTGGCAGAGAAACTAGGATTTGCCCCATTTTACCCAAGAAGAGACTGCAGCTCAGACGGGGCTGCCCAAGTTGGTAAACGGCAGAACTGGGACTGGGATTTGTCCTTCTAAAACCTTCCTCCTGTACCGTGGTCCCTTGTTTTTCATGCTGTTTCCCAGACAGCTAGCTGGGTTGGAGAAACTCACTGATTTTCCTTTGGTAGGAAAAGCCACTGGTCCTGACCCCCCGCCCCAGGACCCAGGAACTCAAAAGAAAGTACAAGTCCCAGCATGACCAGATGATCTGCAAATGCCTCTCGCTGAGCATCTCTTATGCTGCTACCATTGGGGGCCTGACCACCATCATCGGCACCTCTACCAGCCTCATTTTCTTGGAACACTTCAACAAGTAAGCAGTTCACTTGGTCAATAAATATTTACTAACCACCCACCATGGGTCAGGAACAGAACTAGGTGTAAAGATACAGCAGAAAACTGAACCAGACATTTTCTGTACCAAGAGGGAACAGAGACAATCAAGTCGTTACAGTTCAGCGTGCTGAGAGGGGCGAGATTCAGCAGAGAGAGCCCCACGGGGGGAGCCCACCCAGTCTACTGGGAGGGGGTGCCTCCCCAGAGAGGTGACGATGCAAGGGGAGACCTGGAGCATGAGCTGGCGTTAAGTAGAGGAAGGGAGATCTTCCAGGCAAAGAAAACAGTGTAGGAGGGCTCAGAGGCCAGACAGCAGAGCACATAAAAGGACAGAGGGCAAAGGGAGGCCAGGGAGGCGGACATGCAGATCACAGAGGGCCTCGCCAGGCCCACTGAGGGCCTTGGACTTCATCTGGAAGGCTGTGAGAAGCCTTTGAAGAATTTTAGGCAGGGAGTGAGGGAATCAGGTTTACAGTTTTGAAAACTCATTCTGGATTTTTAAAATGGATTGGAGAGGGAAAGGCAGGCAGCAGGGAGAGAATCTGGGATGCTGCTGCAGATGCCAGGAGAGAGCTGGTGGGGGCCTGCATAACAGCGGGAGGAGAAATGGCCAGATCTGAGAGATACTCAGAACTAGACTCGACCAGCCCAAGCAGGATTAGAAAGAGTCTGAGAGAGGGAAAGGCCAAGTCTCGTTGTGAGGCTCGGGGCTCCAACAGCTGGGGAAACAGAGTTGCCCTTGACCTAAATGAGGGGAAAGATAGGAAATGTTGATGTAGAGGTCGAGATGTCCAGCTGGAGACACAGCTCTGAATCTCAAGAGACAGTTTTAGGCCAGAGGCATAGATTTGGAGTTGGTGACCTGCAGAGCTGTGTTCACAGCATGCAGCCTGTGCAGCCCCATAGGCCACATGCTCAGAAGGGCCCCATGTGTGTCTTAATGCTCTGCTGTCAGAGAACAAGGGGCCCCCTATTTGCATCTTACACTGGGCCCCACAAAGCAGATGGGAGTGGGTCCTGGTGGCATGCATATGGAAACTGAAGCCATCGGGGTGATGGAGATTACTCAGGGAGAACACACAGAGTAAGTGGAGCAGGAGGGGTAAACATTCAGCACAAACATTTAAAGTAGACTGACTACAAAAGGGAGAATAAAGCAGTAGCAGACAGGGGGGAGGAAGATCTGGTGTCATTCTACCCAAGGGAATAACGTGGTCCATATTGTTTAAAGTTGATGAATGATCAAGCAAAATAAGAACAAAAATTATCCATTAGATTTGGTGACACGGAGGTTACTGGTGACCTAGGCAAGAGCAGTTTGGTCAAATGATTGGAAAAGAAGCCACATTTCAGTAGGCTGAGGAGTAAGATGGAGGTGGGGAAACGGAGAGGTGGCTGTGAAGAGGAGAGCTATGGGGTGATAATAAAGGGAGAGTGGAGTCAAGAAGGGGTTTTTATGATAGAAGACATTTAGAATGAGTCAGATGAGAGGACGATTAGAGATCTGGGGGACAGGGGATGACTTACGGTGACATCACTGGGAAGACAAGAAGGGTGGAGTCCAGGGCAGGAAGTGAAGAAACTGATCAAGGACAGGGGAGAAACACACTTCTCATTTCAGCCAGAAAAGGAAGGAGAGAAGGAAGGGAAGAAGGAAGGAAAAGGGGAGGAAAGGAGGAAGGATGTGGGAAGAGGAAGGCTCAGTCAAAGCTTACGACTGAATTCCCCAGGATCTGAGCTCCTCACACCACAATGTTCTGTCTCAGCTCTGAGTTTCTGTTCTTTAATTTCTGGTCCCCTTTGTGATTGGGCCAGTTCATATTCTTTTAGTCTATTTCTTGGGTGGTAAAATGGTATATTTAGTCAGAACTGTGGTTTACTTGGACAATAGGGATTCTATGAAAGGAAGGTGGGCTCCCTGGATCCCCACTGGCCTGAAAGTGCCACCATGCTGTTTTTCTTGGCATTGGTGAACAGACCACCCCAGAGTTCATCTGGCTGTGTGTGAGAATCTACAAATTAGTTGATACACTAAGTATATATATTCTCACTTTTAAAAATTCTATAAATGGTACTAGGCCTTCACATTCAACCACAAAAGCCTATTTAATCAGTTCTTAAAGTCCACCCCTTTTCCTGGGTCCAGGAGCCCAGCCTAGCCTGGGCTCCTAGGTACAGAGAAGAGATGATGCGACAGACTTCATGCCTGTTAGCCCAGGGCAGCCCATAGAGTTGCCGATTGGTTTCTACCCTCTGGTATCCTTCTGGCTCCAAAAGCCCTTCTTCCCAATGTCCACTATCAGTGACCCACTCTGGCCTTTTGGGAGGGCACAAGCTCTTACAACTTCTCCAAGAGGTGCACAAATGTTCCTAAAGGTAAGTCCATGACCAGGTCACTGTGCAAAAGAAGTAGATGTCCCTGTGACGACAGATTAAACATTGCATTCTCTCTTGCGTTCTCTCTGCGGGGGATCCTGCTCTTGGTCTTTCTCTCGTTTTCCATGTAGAGCCTAGTGTGAAAAGAGGGGCAGAGTCTGCAGCTACCTTTGAGGAGCTCCGTGCCCAGCCCCAACAGGAAGGGCCCAAGGCCTTGTTTAGGCTAAAGTCATGGCTCACATGTGGTTCATTCTGGCTCCCCAGGAAACAGCACCAGGGCTGGGGCCACAGCTCTGCTCAGTGATGAATGGGGATCCTCTGGATAACCTCCCTGGACCCCTAGGACAGCAGCGGATGTTGATCAAAGATTTGGAGATTCCAAGTCATGGTTCTCCAATAGGCACCGTTAACATCTGGAACCTTCATGTGCTTCTTAGAGACCAGAGTTTTCCAGAAGTGATGCCTTGTGTCCCCCCATCAAAACTCACATTCCTTTGATGACTTTATAAACAAAGTGCAGCAGATTGCCCTCTCCCTTCTCTGCTGTCTTGAAAACCAGATGAGTAAACTTATCAGAATCTTTACATAAATTAAAGGGATTTGGAGAGATTCTCCTGAGTGCAAAGTAGATACACTTCAGGGATATCAATTTTGGTTGCTTGGATGCCTTTTTTTGCTTTATTTCATAATTCTTGGCTGGGCTGGGTACAGCTGCTAAGCTGTCAAGTGAGTTCAAGGTAATGTTTTGCCATATTTTTATCATTATCTCTACCATTAGCTCTGCTGTCTTCTTAAAGAGCATTTAGCTTATTACCCACAAAATACCACAGGGAAACCCACACTTTTCTAATCACTGACCTGGTTCTTTCCCCTGCAGCCAGTACCCAGCTGCAGAAGTGGTCAACTTCGGCACCTGGTTCCTCTTCAGCCTCCCCATCTCCCTCATCATGCTGGTGGTCAGCTGGTTCTGGATGCACTGGCTGTTCCTGGGCTGCAAGTGAGTCTCAGGGCCCTGCCAGCAAGACGCTGAGGCCCTCCTGTCCACCCAGGGCCTCGGCCCAAGCCCTGGAGGGCACCACTCTATGGGGGGCTGCCAAGGAACCACAGAGGATGCCCCGAGGAGAACGCAGGGGTCTAGATGAGCTAGGCATCACCTTTTCTAGACACTTTAAACATCCATGGACCCCTCACTTCACTCTGAGCTTGACGATGAAATGTTCTTAATTTCAACTAACTGGTTAGAGGAAGTCCTGGATTCACAAAAGAGTCTGAATTGGAGTATTTAATGTGGTTTCACTTCTCTCAAAGCATATAATTTGAACTAATTTCTAAAGAAATGATTCCAAGTAGAAGTTGCCCTAGGCTTACTTTTATAGACATGGCTGATTTATACTTAGTAGTTATATGAAGTATGTTTCTGACCCTCAAAATAATGTTAGACATTCCTCTTGCAGTATTATCTCTAATATTCATCTGCTTAGCCAGCCTTCTTTTCATTACCATATGCTTCAAATTTGGTCAGCTTATAACATATAAAGGGAAAGTATATATGATGCTTTGCTATTAGTCCATGGAACCCAACATTCCCATTGCTCAGGGAATGTTCTCTGAGCCGACATTGGGGAAAAAAAAAAACAAACTCAGACACACTTGGCAAACCAACAACAGCTGTATACTTCAATGCCTCCACTGTTACTGATTGAAAACAACACCCACTTTTACCCCAGACCAGCCTTGTCTCTAGACAGATACACACACACACCACGTGCAACACACAAATAAATAAGCATCTGCAGACATATGCCACGTCACACTGACTCTCACTTATGTAAAGGACGAGTGTGTAGAAACAACCTACATAAGTACACTCACGCAAATCCCGGAGACACGACTGCACGTGGAAGTAGCAGGGGCCTGCCCAGACGCACGCACCCGGAAGGCTAGGGGGCAGGCTGACGAGGCTGCGCACTCTGGTAGATGAAGTCGGATGACAGGTGGGAGGGCAGGGAGACGAGGGACCACAGCCCGCCAGGAGTTAGTATTTGCCGAAGACCATCGGCTCTGGGCCTCAGGAGTGTGCTTCCCTGACTATTTTGCTCATTCTCCTTTCTCAGTTTTAAAGAGACCTGCTCCCTGAGCAAGAAGAAGAAGACCAAAAGGGAAGAACTGTCAGAGAAGAGGATCCGAGCGGAATATGAAAAGCTGGGAGCCATCAGGTAAGAGGCAGCCACTCACGGGCCCTCCCTCCACGGGCGGGCGGCAGGCGGGCGGCGCACAGCAGCGGCCCTCGAGCTGGGTGAGCTTTCCTCAGGCATTTGGAGGTGCTATTTGATGCCAAAGTCAAGCTGGCCCAGACTCAAGGGGCCACCCTTCCCCGTTGCTACCATCCACGTCCAGGTGGTCAAGCAGTAACTGCATGTTACGTCTCCGGTCCCGGAGCTCAGAATGCAGGAGCGTCCCAGGGCAAAGTGAAAAGCTCACAGCAATCTCCCAACTCCCGGAGCGGGCCCTTCTGTTTTATCTTACAGCTACCCGGAAATGGTGACTGGGTTTTTCTTCATCCTGATGACGGTGCTGTGGTTTACTCGGGAGCCTGGCTTTGTTCCTGGCTGGGATTCCTTCTTTGAAAAGTAAGTGATGTCGTCTCTGAGAACAAGCCCTCACCCTAACTCTTCCGGCAGGACCCACGGGGGGTCCCCTCCTAGGCTCTTCCGGGCAGTCATGAACCCAGGAAGCGCTCTGTTCTCTTGAAAGTCCCCTCTTTTCAGGAAGCTGCAGGGTGGAGTCAGGAAGAAAACAGTCTTTGGCATCTGAGTCTGGGATTGGGATCAGGTGCTGCCACCCAGCAGCCACGTGACCTTGGTCTTGTCACTGAAGCTCTGGGGACCTCAGTTATCTCGTAGTTGTTACGAGAGTTAAAGGAGAAATGTCTGTAAAGTAAACCACCACCTGTGAAGATGACGGCCACGGCAGCTGGAGCCTGTGTGGGGAGAGGCCAGTGCAGGCTCCTGGGCCTCCCTGCATACCCCCCAGAGGGCCAGGGCCACAGGCCACAAGCTCTCAGCACCAGCTTATGACCCACCCCTAAAAGAAGGCTCGCCGTTTTCTCTTCTTCTTCATCTGAAGAACTCCTGATCACTCCTCCTGATAGGCCCATAAAGTCACACTAAGACATCTGCCCTGGCCGGGCCCTGCCTCTGGACATGAACTGTTGCCCATTAAATCTACCACTGGATAGCACGACAGCAGCTGGCAAGAAGGAAGGGCGACATCCCCCAGACTGGGTCCTAAAGAGAGGCACTGTGCTCAGACTGTGCGAGACAGGGTGCTTCCCGACCCTCCTCCTCCAGCTCTCTTGTCTCTTTGCCAGGAAGGGCTATCGCACTGACGCCACAGTCTCTGTCTTCCTTGGCTTCCTCCTCTTCCTGATTCCAGCCAAGAAGCCTTGCTTTGGGAAAAAGAATGATGGTGAGAGGAGTTCAAGGGAAGAGGTTGGGGCTGGCTCTAGTCAAATAATGGTCCAAGTCAGAATTTTCAGAAGGAGCCTTACCGAAGCCCCCCCGGTTCTACCCTAGAATAGCAGAGCATCTTCCCAGATCATCCGGTTCATCCATTAGACCCCTATCTCCACAAACCAGACCCATTACGTTCACCTGGCTCCACCTCCCTGTCTACCTGTGATCCAGGGGAGGACCAGGAGCCCTCACTGGGAATGGAGCCCATCATCACGTGGAAGGACTTCCAGAAGACCATGCCCTGGGAGATTGTCATTCTGGTGGGAGGAGGCTATGCTCTAGCTTCTGGCAGCAAGGTAACCCCTGAATCTGTTCTTACTTGGCCAAATAATTTTCCTAGCAGCTTTACCTAATGAATTATCATGCTTCTGGGAGGAAAGATGCAAAGGCACTGAGGGAGAGGTTAATGTTTGCCCAAGTCTCTGGGAAGGGAAACAGTACAGCCAAGGATGGATAGCCTGTCCCCCCTTGAGCTTCTAAGCTGGCACTACTGGGAACAGATACAGATCAGCTGTGCCAGTCACCACACACAGGCATTCACACCTCACTTACGGGCCCACACTGCTACAAGCAAAAGACCTTAGATTCTGTAGCCATCTTCTTCTGGGGTTTTGACAGTGGTGACAGATGTGTCTGTAAGGGCCCAGAAATGCCTCAGATTGACCCACAGCAAATTGCCTCTCCGTCAGCCCGAAGGCATATATTGAGCCCCTTTGGCAAATACATGCTAAAGCGGATGTAAGTGTCCCCTGATTTCCTGATTGGGAGGATTTGGGATGAGGTCTTTCAAAGGGGGCTGATGGGAAATAGTTGAATTTCCTAGCGTGTTAGCCCCTCCTGAAATAGAAACAACCCTAAGACTCAGTCAGGTTAAGGTTGTCACCATTTTCTTTCTCCGCCTGCTCTGTGTACATTAGGCCATTCTGAACTTGGCTCACTTTTGTTCGCCCGTTCATTGTGGGCCTACATGCTATCTGCATCATCAGTGAGGTCACAGAACCCTCCACTTGGAAGGAACATGGAGGACATTGAGTCCCATCTCCCACCCGATGAGAGATTCCCCCCCACGAAGCCCCCAGCTTGAACACCTCCAGTGACAGGGCATGCCCTGCTCAGCCAACAGAGAACAGCTGTTTTTACTTTCAGCTCAGGTCTTCAGGCCTTCTCCTTGGGAACCCGCTCCTCAGTAATAATGATTAAAATAATACAGTTATTAGGTCCCCCTAGGTCTTCTTTTCCACCTAACACTCCCTAGTCCCTTTAACCATTTGTCACAGTGACCCCTTACCATGCTGGTCCCTCTTGTTAGGACTCACTACGCTCTGCCCTTGGTCAGACATGGTCCAGGGGTGGTCAGCCTACTGTAGAGTAATTACCCAAGCCCCAGTCTGCATTTTCATGGAAGCTTTTATAAGGCTTCACTGGCACTCATGTCAGTGTTTATACTGAAGTTGCAGTTAACTAAAACCCTTCATTTTTCTCATTGTTAGCCACTAAGCTTCAGGTCCTTCAACCAATCCTGTATATATGCTGTCAATATTTCTAATTCCAAGTTCACAATATCATATTTATCTTTGTTGAATTTCAATGGTTAGTTTTGGCCTCTGAGCCCAGCCTGGCAAGATCTTTTTTTTTTAACCAAAATTGTGCATGTATAGTTGTAAAACCTATGGACTTTACCAACTTAGTAATTTAAGTACAAGTGATTCCTACTGAATCTGAAATAATTTCAGTCTTAACTTTAGTGAGGAAAAATCCAATGAAAAATGTTTTCATACCAAGGGTTTAAAAAAGCAAGATTTCCTTTGTTGTGTTTTTTTTTAAACTGTGCAGTCTAATTTATCAGTTTATTTCAAATGATAAAATAGTTCTTCTGAAAAAAAATAATTGCCATTAAGTTATTTCACTTTACTAACAAGTACTATTTGGATAACATAAGTAAAACTCCATTTCTTTATGAAACAGTTTCCACTCAGCTAACTGCTCTCCCTCCCCTGTCTTTGTCCAGTGAGCAAAGTTTAATGTGTCACAAGAGACAACAATTACAGACCTCCCGTAGGCCTTGAGGCTCTGAACCAACCATTAATTGAAGTGGTTCCCACATATTGGATTTATAGCTCTCAATCACTTGAGAAAAAAGAAAGTGCTCCGAGGTAAAAATGGCTTCAACAGAGAACTGAGAAGTCCTTTGGTCATCAGTTGTCTGTGAGCCTGCCGTGAAGTGGCCAGGGTGCTGTGGAGATCAGATGAGCTTTTGATGAACTTGGAAATGAGGAGAGAAGGTAGCCCACTGACAACGCAGTGAGGCTGACTTTAACAGTAAAGCACGAGCAGGGCTTACAGCTTGAATCATAAAATGTCTCACCTGGCCTCCTGGCCTGCTCCCCAGGCCTTTACTGCGTCTGCAGTCTGTAGGGGAAAAGCCAGAACATGTCAACCAGAGAAGGGAGAGGAGAGGAGTGGGAGAGCCTGAGAATGCATATGGCAACATGGGGTTTTTTAGAACAAAAACTCAACTATGCCCTTCATTTTTAGGGGAGGGGGAGAGACCATATCATTGGCAGATGAACATCTTCCAACCAAATGAATTACTTCAAGTGGGAATATTCATTTATTTGAGTTGATATGTTGCTGGTGGATAGGGTTCAAGAATGGCAAGATGCCTTTATATCGTGTCGTCAAAAAATATGGGCAATCATAGATCCATGATGACACTTGAACCTAAAGCAGGTTGATACTGGATGACTATGTTTATAGGCCAGAGAGGTGGCACCTTCCCCACTAAATGAAGATAGACTCACTCCCTCTCTCCTTCGTTACTCATATGAAACTCCAAATGTCCAGCCCTGCCCACTCACATCCCCCAAACCAGAAGATGTCACCATCCAAAGATGTTGATAATTTTTCCCTTTCATGGGTAATAAAATAAGAGGAACAGATTTCAAAAAGCAGAATTAAGGATTACACTTGGCAGTCTGTGTATTGACTGAATGCAAAGAGGGAGAGTGTCAGAGGCTAGAGGAAGAGTAATGAATTTGAAGTGGAGGGGCTGATCGCCCCAAAGGTCTCCAGTCCCAGCCGAGTCATCACCGTGCTAAGACGGACCGCAGCAGTTAGAGTGGGTGGTTCTCCATGCCCTGTAAAGACTGCCCAGGAAACCTGGGACAATGTTGTACAATCATTTAAAAAAAAGTTCTGGGCTACAAAAGTGATCTAATCATAAAATCAGGAATATCTGTAGGTCCAGTCTGCCTGAAAGTAGGGAGGCAAATTAGATGGCTTCTGTTGGTCCCTTCCCGCCCCCGACCTGGGCCTCCTGGAGGCTGAGGATTCCACTGGAGTGTGCTCTTCCTCCTCTCTCCTTACCACATCGCCTTGTCTTCCTGCAGAGCTCTGGCCTCTCCACGTGGATTGGGCACCAGATGTTGTCCCTGAGTAGTCTCCCACCATGGGCCGTCACCCTGCTGGCCTGCATCCTGGTGTCCATTGTCACAGAGTTTGTGAGCAACCCAGCCACCATCACCATCTTCCTGCCCATCCTGTGCACCTTGGTGAGTAGAGCAGGGCGCTCAGATGTCCAGGCAGGCTGCCCCAGGAATGGGCAGTGGCAGACCCCGGCCTGGGGATAGTTCCATGGCCACACTCTCTCCTCTGGTCACTGCCACAGCCTTCACTGATTGGTGTTCAAGCCACAGTTTGAAAAATGAAGTTTTCAAGTAGTAACTAATAAGTAAATAGATAATTAATAATAGAGCTGTAGAAACCCTTTTCCAAAAGACTAAGCTTAGTTTAGGGGCAGCCCTGAATGGAAACAAGAATGGACAAAATAACCTTAAAACCCTAGGATTCCAAATCCCCACAGTCATTGTCAACCTTTCTCTTCTGAGATAAGACCTAACTGGAGGGCAGGAGAAACAGCTGCAGAAAATGGAGGCAAATGCTCCCAGAAGTACTCTCAGCTGCAGAGACCAAAACCGCAGCTCTGTCACCACCGTCTCCACCCAATTTCTCTGTCCAGGAGGTTCCGAGAATTGTGAGCAGTGCCAGCCTCATTCCACGGTGTCAGAACAACTTGTGATTAATGGAATAGGGGAGGGGAGCAACTGCCAAATCTCAGCTTGGCTAAGCAGCCCCAAAGGTAACACACAAGACAAGTCCGTGTGGTGGGACCAATAAAAGGAAGGGTCCTCCTCATTACCAACAAAATAATCTCTTCCTGCTCCTTCTAACCCCAGACCCTTCCCAGCCAATCTCAGCTCCCTGCTCAGATGTCTCCCTCCAACTTCTCCATCACCCTGCTTGTGTGAGCATGGGAATGCACTTAGTGAAAACCTGGCAACACTGAGGGCAAGACCACAGGCTCAAATCCCATATAGGGAAGGCAATTATCTTACCTAGGAAAAAAAAGACCTTAGTTCTGCACCCCGAAAGTGAGAGATGTCTATTTCAATCAAAGCAGCTTATTCATGAGACATGTGTTTGAAGAATTTCTCAGCTAAAGAATAAAATTGTAAAACTACTTCCTTAGACCAGCACCAAGAAATGAAGCATACCTTCTAGGAAGGAGCTCAGAGGCCATGTTTCCAGGGGAAGTGAGTGAGCAGCAGAGCCCCGCTGAGTAGGCGGCGCTGCGTGCTTTTGAGGGCAGTGATTTACCTACCCCCAGCACATGGCGTCCAGCCAAGGTCAGCCAACACCAAGCCATCATTTAAAGCACATTCATGATGGTAAGCACAGGAAATGCAAGTCTAATCTCAACGCTCATGTTTCTGTGAATTCTCTCTTCTCCTAGTCGGAAACGCTGCACATAAATCCACTCTACACCCTGATCCCTGTCACCATGTGCATCTCCTTTGCAGTGATGCTGCCTGTGGGCAACCCCCCCAACGCCATCGTCTTCAGCTACGGGCACTGTCAGATCAAAGACATGGTGAGTCTGGCGTCCTTTTCCTGCCAGCCCCCCTCCCCCACCCTGAGGGCAAGGATGGCTGGCTCCACTGCCTTCTCCTGAAGTGTATTATTTTGTAAGCAGTGTCCCTGATCTGTCAACGCTCAGTCTAGCGTGGCAAAGACTGGGCCTGGTGAAAGGTTTTTGTCTGGTCCACAAGCACCAAGAATAGCAATAATGTGCTCCCCAACCCTTTCCTGGGAAAAAGTGGGTATACAGAGAAAGCCAGGCCGGATACAGGATGTGACCCGGTTCCAGGTGAGAGCTTGTTCAAGTCTTTGCCTCAGTTTCGTCACTGGACTCTGAGGATATTCATTCAGAGCAGTGCTGGTTTATTCACAGACGGTTAAGTGTGAGAAACTGTATGAACCTCAGGTGAAAGATATTTTGTGAGCACAGGGACCTTCTGTTCTACTCTCTCCCTGAAGCAAGAAACCCCCAAAGCAACAATGACAAAATGAAGCATCCACAGCTCACGCCTCAGCTTTCAGCTAAGCTCACAAAAGATGGCTTTGAGGAGACATTTTGCCGCTGATTTTAGTGCTGGGCACATCCACTCTCCACTCCTCCCTGCTAAGCTTCTTCATACCCAGGCTGACGGGGTTGGGGAGGGACGAAAAAACAAATTCAAGTAACTGGGGCCTGGCTGACTCAAACAGGGCCCATTCCCCCTGGCTGAGGGAATCCAAACTATTTCTCACTCAAATCCAAACTTGTTCTCAGCAGCCCTGTAAATATCAAATGGAGAAAAGGAAGAAAGAGTGTCAAGCTGGTGGCAGATACTCAGATCCTTTCTACTTTCAAACTGCTCACCTAAGTCATCTGAATTTCTTCAGGGAAGGGGGGTCCTGGCCACCCCTCTGTCCCCTTTATCTTGCTGCAGAACCCTCAGCCTGCTCATACGGAGCTCTGCCCCAACTCTCAAGTCCCCACAACACCCCCGCCCCCTCTGCCGTGTGCTCCCACCATTCACCCCAGCCTTCCACCCTGGTCAGGTGATCAGAGGCAGTAATTTTTAGAGGCACCAGATGACAAGCAGTGAGCCGGTCCTGGGTTCTGTTCCCAGCCTGGCACTGGCTCAGGACTTCACTTTCCTCACCAGTTAAGTGAGGAGGTTAAGCTAGGTGCTCTAAACGACCTTAGTTTAACTCCTTCAGAATCTGCATCCTCTCACCTGCTAGGAAACACGGGCAGTTCTCCACCTCAAAAGGCCCAGGGGCCAGGATGATTAATAAGTCCAAGCCTCAGGCCGGAGGCAGAAAGGCGACACATCTAGTCATCTGCTTGGAACAACTTCCTAACATTCATTTTTCCCTCACAACTTTCCCAACTTAATCCCAGCCAGTGGACTTGCGGTGGTGACACTCTCTATACTTGGTCATTAGCCGGCAGGACGCCAGCCATCCTTGCTGAACATTTTTCCAAGCGGCCCTGGCTCTGCCATCCGTCATCCCTCACGTCGCCCTTCCGCCTGCGAGTGTCAGTGCCATGCAGAAACAGAGGGGGTCGGGGTCGTGGGGGTGACATCCCCTGCAGAAAGCAGCACAGGCCCACGCCAGCCAGGGCAGCTGTGCTGCCTTCCTGCGGAAGCAGAGGCAGCGGACCCGTCTCCCCAGGTGAACCCCAGCCTCGCCATGTCCATGAGCTGTTTCCTGGGGGTCAAAGGGAACAGCAGCAAAGCTTCACAGAAGATAACCTCTCCTACAAGTCAGCACATTAAAGGCTCTGAGAGGTTCCTGCTTTAAAGAGCTCTGTTTAACTCTGATGAACAATTTCCCTATCACGGAGCCACAGGACCCCTTTTTAGTGTAACTTACATTCCAGGATCTGGTGTTCCAGGCACACACCTTCTAGGCCTCCGTGTGTTGGGGAGAGTGCTACAAGGTGGGGTGATTCCAACAGTCCTCTCCCAGCCCCACGCCCTCCCTGCTCGCCGGTCCTCCCAAGTCCTGTGCCCCTACAAGTCACCACCAGAGCACCCCTGGCAGTGACTGGAACACACCAGGCCAAGCAGGGGGGCTGTGATCATGTCAGGGCTGAGGCTCAGGCAGGGGAGCTCATGGGGATCCGTGCAGCTGCCTGCTCGGGGTGACTAGGCTGTGCTGGTTTGTGTCCTGCAGGTGAAAGCTGGTCTGGGGGTCAATGTCATTGGCCTGGTGATAGTGATGGTGGCCATCAATACATGGGGAATTAGCCTCTTCCACCTGGACACTTTTCCCACCTGGGCTCAGGCCAGTAACATCACCCACCAGGCCTAACACAAGTGGGCAAACGGCCCAACCAAAGGAGCTGCCAGCACCCAGCAGAACCTGACCAACAGGCCAAGAAAACCACCAGGAGGACGCAGCCCCACCAGAAGACTCCGCCATCTACACCTCGAGTGAAGTGCAGGGAGCCTCCAACAAGCCAAAGCACAGGCTTGGATGTCAGTGTCTTCTGCTCTGTCCTCCTTCCTTAGCACCGCAGCTCAAGGAAGCCCAAAACCTTTCTCACCTCCTTGTATCTCATCTCTCCAGTCAGTTCTTCTGAAGACAGGAAGGTCCAAAGCCTGTCTCAGATGCTCCTCAGAGGCTAAGCCTTGCAAACTGACCAGTCTCACTGGGTTTGATGTTACTGTTAATATCTTGATCCCTCTTAGGAGCTGAAGGAGAAATCCCGGTCACCCTGCCTGTGCACAGAGGGTGAAGCCAGTGACAGCTCCTCTCTGGGGGAAAGTCGCACCCAGAACTTGAGACCCAGCGTCGGCTCCTTTCTCCTACGTGTTTCTGTCCTAAGTTCTCTCCACAAAAAGGCAATTCTTAGTAGTCCTCTTTGTGGCAATCAGTACTCTTTTATCACTGCTCTGATTCCCTTTTAAGTGTCTCTCTTCAATGGCTTCTCTAGACCTCGGCACCAAATTCCTGTAAAGAAATAGCGTTCCCCTTTACAAAGAGGCTGGTGCTGTTCTGTCTGTCGGAAGAAAAGAGAAAGAAGACACAATGAGATTGGAAGCTCTCTGTCACTCATCACCAACCGTCAATACCACTGTGCTGGCCAAGTGTTGGGAGAGAGAAGAAACTTTCATGCCTACCTTATTAAGGAGGCCAAAACTGTAGTTAAGACCATTAATAGTTCAGACTATTCATGATACCTGACAGGCTTTCTTCTGGCGGTAATGAGTAGTTCGTTCCTGAGAAGCCACGTACAGAAAGGTCCAAACACACCAGTCCTTTTATACGAGTTAACGAGCCCCCTGAGGGGAGGGGAGATGTCTTATGTCTCTTAAAGTCCCCAGCAACTTAAACAGTAGAGTAAACTGTATCTGCTCAATAAATGCTCCCCGTGAGAAAAGTCACTTTGGAAATCAAGGCCTCCTTCTTCCTGAACGGCACCATTTCCCCCATGACGGAGATCCTTGCTGTACGACTGGGTATCGCTCCCAATCCAGTTTTCAGGCATTACACGTTTCTGATTTCTACCATCAGCTACCTGCTAAATACATCTGGGGAAAGGAGAACCCTGTAGGTACTGCACCTTCGAATTGATTCTGAGTTACTACTGACAGCCTGTGCAGTCTTCCCACAACCGCAGAGCAGCTGTGGCCCAGGGTCTGAAAATAACTTACCAACAAAGTCACTCCCTTAGTGTATCAAACATCCGTGAATTAAAAAGTTGCTTTTGTGCCAAACTTGCCCAGGTTTAACCAGGAACATTACTCCTTCTGCCAATTAACTTAGGCCAAGTTATCTGGCCACTTATAAAAGTGAAGCCCCAACGAGCCCAAATGAAATACCAACACGAGGTACACACACCACAGCTGGCGTGATGAGGCCAGCACCACCACAAATTGTGTTGCTCTAAAACGTTCAGAAGAGTCAGGCTGTTACCCCTATTGTGAGGGTAGCCGAATTGTCAAAAAACGTCTGACCCATTAAACAACTTAAGACACCAAGCTTCTAAGTCAGACGATAACACAAAGGCGCAGATAATCAGTAAGATTCAGTAAGAACTGGGCTGACTTAGAATGACTGGTTGCCCTTCAGCTATTTGAGAAGCTGCGTCTCTGAAAGGGACGGCAGTGCGACGCCCCCTGCCATTGCTCCGAGCCGGGCTAATTCACTCAGGTAGCAAATTCAGAAGGAGCATTTATTTCTGTCTGGTCTACTAACCACTCTAAAGAACAGCACTGTACTCTCCGCAAACAAGACTGCTCATTCCCACAGCAGGAAACGTCAGATACGACTAACTCCCTGTCTTCTAAAATCGCTCTGCTGTTGGACAGGGACAAATAGCCTACTTGGTGGTCTTGTGTCTCTTGCAAATATATTACGTTTGATTTTTATCTTCTAATATCACAACTATGGGTGGAAAAGCTGTGAATGATCATCTTATACCAACTCCTTTTATAGATGATGAAACTGAGAAACAAAGACACTAACTAGAGTTGCATCTTATTCTGAAGTCAATTAAACATCAAAATTGCTTGAAGCTGCCTTTGAAGGTCCTTTAAGCCACCCATGAAGTACACAATATACGATCTTTTACCTTAGTATGTACTCGGCACAGGGACTCACGTGCTATATTAGCTACTTCTCCCTGTATTGTCAGAATAGGTCCCTGTTTCTTTAACTGAACAGCAAATAAAGTAGGTGGTTTCACATTCAGGGACCCTGTTTGAAAAGTACTTCTAAACACTAGACTCACTCTCACTAGAGTGAGAGAACAGAACCATCAGAAGACAAGGGGAACTGAGCTCCACGGCCACAAGGAGCCATCCCCGGGCTGCCCTCACTGAACGAACCCCAGCCCGCTGCCCACACTACCTACACGCACCTCTGCTTGGCGCAGTCTTGTACAGTTGTGCACAAAAGAATGAGGCAACAACACTGCACTTTTCATTAGCAGGCCCAGGACCCGGGCTTTGCAATGTCCCGCTCCACGCACTTTCCACAAAACTTCAGTTTGGCTCGTTTCTCTCCCAGGGCCTCAAAACACGCCATCCACTAGGTCTTCAGCACTTAACTAGGTTGCACCCAGATTTAGGAAAGGTATACACTGAACATTTGAAAATCCAAGTCTCACAAACTCCCTAGTAAAACCAGACAAAGTCTCAAAATATTTCCCCTTCACCACCCGGTTCCTCTCCACAAGGCAAGGCCCTAACAGTAGGGGAAAAAAGAACTCATTCATCTGCGTAAGGAATGGAAATGCTACATGCAAAGTCCAAGCCGGGAAGTTGAAGAAAAGCCTCATTTGCTCCAGTACAGTATACAGTGTTCCTTCAGGAGGAGTCACAGAAAAAGCATTTAACATGTGGCGGCTCTCAGCAGAAAAACAAACCCCAGCGTAGTATCCAGGGAGCCGCTGCTCAGTGGAGATGGAAACACCATGCATGTCACCTATGCTCCATGAGCCCACAAGTACAGACGCCTGGGAAACCCGGACATCTTCACTCTTCTGTAGAGTCACACAAATGAAAACTGAGTAAATGGGTGAGAAAGGAAATAAAATCGTTCCTTTAAACCAAAAACTGCTTAATTGTATAAAACACTACATCAGAAGAGACATCTAAAGACATCAACTGGTAACGTATAAAACACAGCGCCTTTTGACAATTTTAAGCAAGGTTGTTTTGGTTTTTCTCTCCCTTTGGTTTTTTGTCGGGGAGGGTTACAGTTTAAAGATAAGCTTTCAAGTTCAATGTATTTTTTAAGTCCCCAACATCAATCCTGAAGTCTCCTTTTTCACGTTAGTAACCTTCAGCAGTATTTTATGTAACCCTCCTTTTATGGTCAAGTGTAGCAAAGTTTCTTTAAATCACATCAGCAGCAGTTTTTGACCTTTTTTTTTAAAGAAAAAAAAAAAAAAGGACTGTCTTGCAGTGGTTCTGCTGTTCCTCCGCTGACCTGAGACAAGGGCCTCTACAAAACACAGGGGACATAACTTCCAGCATCATGATCACCATCACCGCACTCCCTAAACCTACGATGGTTCTGTGTTCCTCCAACAATGTCTCTGTCAAGATAATCCTGCCTGAAAACTCCCAGCTCCTTTTCACTCCTGCAAGAACCTAAAACTCCTAGTTTTAGGGGATCTGAATGGTGACCACGAAGTCAGGCTGCATTCATGTGTAGCAGTTTACACGATGCAGGTGATTTGCTGGGTGGCTCCCACTGGCAGAAATGATCCTGCCAGCAAGGTTAAGTGTCACTCCTGAGGGGAGCTCTAAGTCCAAACCAGCTTTGTTTACAGTGTAGAATATACAGGGACCTAATATTACAACTTCTACGTGACCCTCATCCCCAAAGAAGCCGCCCTGGGAGACCACGCACACACAAGTAACACTGCTCCATGGCTGATAATCGAGAAGCCCTCCTTGCAAACAGCTTTCTAAGCTTGTGGCATTTTGAAGACCCTCAAGGATGGTAAACCTTTATCCTTCAAGACTGTGGTTCATTCTGCTAACAATTCGGTCATTCAAGATCAAACCTTGTAAACTAGGTGGTAGGATCAAGGTGGATACTCTGGATTTTCATCAACAAAGAGTGACCATAGAATGATGACAAATTTTGCATGGCTAATAGACTGGTTCCAAAAGTGAATGCAGAAACAACAAAAGTATTCTGACCAAAAGCAGCATGTTTAGACTAATAGCTACTATTTATTGGAAATTTGCAAAGCACTGTGCTACACATCACATACATTATCTCAGCTGTTTCTCATGGAAGCCCTATGAGGTAGGTATTGTGTCCGCATCTTGCGGAAAATACAACAGTTTCAGAAAAATAAGCCACTTGCCCCCAACATATTCCAAGGGAGAAGCCAAACCATTACATGATCTTAATCTGTCTCAAACACCAGGACAACCTGACAGGGACAACATTTATCTCCATGTATGAAGGATCAATATTTTCAAAGAGTAGTAGAATCACTTCATTTTACAATCACATTTAGTGTCAGTGTCATCACTGTCTGGGTATTTCTAAGTCATTCTTCCAGTTTACTGATTCTGCTAAAATATCTTCAGAAATGGCAATATCAGTGAGGCTACCCAACAAGCCCTCTGATACAAAACACCCAGTAAGACAGGATTTTATTTATATTTAGTGCTAATTACACTTCCAGGACTTTAGCGGGTAGCTATCCCCTGCACAGTAGGTTTAAGGTTATCACTGTAATAGCAAAAGACAGCAAACAACCTAAACGTTCATCAGGAGAAGATGAAATAAACTATGGCACAGTCATTCAGCAGAACCTTATGTAGCCACAAAAGGAAAGAGGTTCTTTGTTCTTTATATACTGATATGGAGTGACCGCCACTGGGGAAAACTCTATATAGTTTGTTATCTTTGTATAAAAACCTGTGTGCACATGTGTGTGTTTAGGCACAGAATCTTTCTCAAAAGTGTACAGGACACTGGTGACAGTTCCTGACTCCAGGAAGAGAAACTAGGAGCTGGAGGACAGGGGTGGGGCAGGCCCTTTATTCCAAATAACTTTTTACTGACCTAGGGGGAAAGTTACATATTTAATTTTTTTTAATTAAAAAAAATATGGACTGATTATACATTTGACAAATTACAAGAGTAATTTCTAATTGCAGAGAAAAGTAACACAAAGTCTTCTTATGAGAATCACTATAAAGTTATAATGTAAATACATTTTTAGATGTAAAAAGGCATAAAATTTCCTTGATAGACAATTTCTCATCTATCCACCATGTAATGTCAAATGCGCTTGTAACCCCTTCAAATAAGTATGATTTTTATGAAGGAAAAGAGCCAGATCCAATACATCATTAAAAGAAAACATTCATACTAGA